CGATACCATAGTCTCTCGAGACTGAAGGATGCCTACAAGTAGTTGCAAAAGTATTATGGAGAAGACTTCGATGAAACTTGTGCTCCTGTTGTCAACCGCAGCAATAAGAATGCTCCTGAGTGTAGCAGCCTCCAGAAAGATGCAAGTCAAGAATGCATTTCTACTTGGAGAGATTGCAGAAGACCTACATATGGAGCAGTCAGTCATATGGGCTCCATCAACCAGAAACATCTGATTTTGTATGTAAGCTAAAGAAAGGCTACATGGACTGAAGCAAGCTGATCAGATAAGGAACGAGAAACTGAAAATGTTACCTGCAACAAGACTTCAAGCAAGGTGATATAGTTCAGTGCTTGTGTATCTAAACTATCAATAGACATTTCACTTGTATCCTTGCATATGTAGATGACTTACTTGTAGTACTCAAAAGGAACAGGAGTACAAAGAGATTACACACCATCTTAACAAATAAGTAGAAATCAAAGAGTTAGGGTATGAAACATATTATCTGGGCATAAAAATTAAAAGGGATTCAGATGGGTCATATTTGTTAACAAAAGACAGTTGAGCTTCTAGAGACATTAAGCCTCCAAGATGCCCACAGTGTAACAATATAAATGCAAACAGCTTTTCTGAAAACGAAAAGTAAAGTGAACTGTTTCCAAGTAATAATAAACACAGAACAGCTTTAGGCAAGCTTTTGTACCTTGCAACCACTACTAGATCAGATATAGCTACTTCTGTAAGAATACTAAGCAGAAATGTTAGTTTGCCAACACAGGATGATTGGACATCTGTTAAAAAAAGTAGCTAGATATTTGAAAGGGACCATGGATTGTAAGTTAAGACCCGATTTTAAAAACTCAAAGCATGTAGGGTACACTTAACGCAAGCTGGGCAGAGGATAGTACAGATCATGCCTGTACTATCTGTTCATGAATGGTGATGTTGCTATGTCATGGGCTCGTTACAGACAAGATGTTGTCGCTTTGTATTTCACAGAGCCTGAATTCAATGATGCAGCTGAAATATCCAACTGCTTTGGCTGGAGAGCTGCTGAATGGCTGAGATAAATGAAGAAATGCCAATCCAGGTGATGGAAGACAACAAGAAGCTGCATCAACCTATCACAAAGTGACAAAAATAATGCATATACCAAGCACATTGGCGTGAGATCCCACTTGGTGCACGGCCTGCCAGAGAAAGGTGTCATTCAGATAATCTGGTGTCATACCAGATAGATGAGAGCAGACATTCTGACCAAGCACCTTCTGAGAGACCACTTCCAGAGTTTGTGTACCAAGATGGAACTCCAAAAAGTGGTCGTATGCAAATTTGAGAAGGGGTGCTGGAGTTCTGTTTGCAACCTCACATGCTATCTCTAGTTTGTGGGGGGACTTCTCTGGCCTGCGGTGACTGTTTTTCTATCCAGCACTAGCCAATAATTCTTTCCAGTCTTTTGGTTTCAAAGAGAGCCCAGGAGGCACTTGTTTGTTTGCTGTTGATCTGTTAATTTTGTTGCTAAGTATGTGTGCAGTAAAGAAAGCAGCATACACAAGTCTGTGATTTCAAGCAACTGTAAGTAATGTTTTTCAATATTTCTTCTACAAGTGACTCAGAGTAAGTTATGGAGACTCCAAATACCAGTTAATAAGAAAGGGTGGGGAATTAGCAACTATTCTCTGCGGGTCTCTGTACTTCTGCTGTGACTATTTTCAAATATGGTTCTTTCTTTTGCTTCAAAATCTTCTCAGGAGGCCCTTCTTTCTTTTCTGCCATCCTGATAGGCATATTGGGTGACACAAGGGCCCAAGGCTGCTCTCAAACTGTGACACTCCCTTTTACAAGAGCCTTTATAAAGGCAAGAACTTTTGATTCAGGTAGACTGTCAGCAACTGATTCAGTACTGAGGAAAAAGGCTTTAATGGGTGCAGTTACTCTATTTGGTTTTACAAATGTGCTATTTTTTCAATTTCAGTTCTTGGTTTAATATGATAATCTATTTAACTATGTCCTATTAAAAGCTTGGAATATTAAATCTGAAAAACAGTATGTTAGAAAAATATCATTAATTTTATAACATTAGGACTGCTATATCTATAGGATCAATACCTGTGGTTTCACTTACCCATTGCCTGAAAATACAAAATAGATGTATCATTTGTTCTCCAAAATGTACCTGATTAATCACTGATGACCCTGGCCATCCATCCACATGAGATAAATCTTTTCTTGGTCCAAACTGTGACAAACACTGACATAACTTTTTTGTACCCTTCTGAAAGCATTGGTTATTTTTGTTTCAGATTGCTCCCTGGGGTGCGGTGAGCAAGGTGGGGCAGAGGAGTTTACAGCTGTTATAGACAGCTTTATTGCCAACTCTCATTGGCTCTTTACCCCAACTGACTACAGTCTATGGAAGGTTGTATAGACAAAAGGCCCAAAGCACAAAATAGGCTTTAGTTTGTGTTCTTTTGGATATTGCCAAAAGAGAGCCTCTAAAACATTAAGTGATTTGTGTTTACAGAAAATATACCATAATTTTCCGTGTATAAGACTATACTTTTGTATAAAATCTTTAGACTAAAAATTGAGGGTCGTCTTATACATGGAAGTTAGCTGAGGAGAGAACAAAAACAAGTGGAGGGGAAAGCAGCGACTGAAGCGATCCTGCAGCGCTTTGATCCCTTTCCCCCTAGACCTGCTAAGCCCCACTTATTTTTCTTAATTTTGGATTAGAAAAGTGGGGGTGTCTTGTACATGGGGGCATCCTATACATGGAAAAATACGATACATGTTTCTTTTATGTCACCTTTTGGCGCCTTTTTGTCTGTCAAATTGCCTGAGAAATGTTCCAGTTAGTACTGTTGCAAGACAGTCAGCAGCCAATCAGAACATACAGAACAGCCTGGCACCTGGTGAGGAATGCTCTTTTTGATCCAGTCATTGAGTGCAATTACTGTGTGCTGAAATCCTGGTGTCCTTCATCTGGAATTACTGTCTGCCTGCACCAGCAGCTTGAATTTCTGCCTCCTTTTTCAAATTTTGGGGGGATTTCTTGGAATTATGTTAGCTGTTTCCAGGCAGGCAGCCTGTGTCAGCATGCCTCTTTAGGATTGGGGGGGGGGTGTTCTCCACAGTTTCTCTGTAGATTTTCCCTCTTCCCCATGCCTCTGCTCCTTTCCTTTCCTTTTTGCTGTTGCTTGGCCTGCCTGCTAGTGCCTGCTGGACTCAAAGAAGAAAAGAAAAGGCATCATGTTGCAGCAGGAAGAGAAATCTTCCCCTTTTCTAGCAGTTTTGGTTGAGAGAGCTTTGACTGTATTTTTTGCCTTTATGTGCTCTCTTGACTTCATTGGTTCAGGGGAGAGAAACTGTATATTTTAAAAATAATTTTGCCATGTATTTGCACGCATGTGTGCTTGCACTATTTCCCTGTTGGATTCATTTTTTTAAATAAAATGGTATTTGGTTAACTTACAGTTTATTTATTATATTAAAGGATATATATTTAATGGGGGTTTCTTGGGATTGTTTTGTTTGCATCAGGGGTGGGGGTGGTTGGGCCAGAGAGTAGACTTGTTTGAATGCAATAACATAAACTAAAGCCTGCATAGGTCTAGTAATGAAACACCACCCCACACCACCCAATACTGTTGCCTGCTTTTGGAATATATAGATTCAGTCTTGCCTTGGCTCTGCTTTTTTTGACCAGTAGAAGGCTTTTGGCGTTCTGGAAAACACAAATAGGGAAACCTGAATGGGAAACCAAGAAGAGGTGTTCCCTTTTGTGCAAAACCAAAAAGACTAGTACTTCCATGCTGTCTGGGGTGAGAGAGATGTCTATGAGTCAGTACAGAAATGGTTGACGAAAGGAAGAGAAAGATAAGCTGGTATCTGGAGTGCAACGGCATGTTAACTAAAAGTATGTTGAAGTTCAGAGGGTATGCATGAACAGATATAATTTAAACAGCTATTGTAGCTTAGACAGCCACTTAAAATGTATGGTTTATGACCTTATTACAGTATTGTGAAGAAAAGTTTTATGTTCCTTTTAATGTTTGCCTGAGTCTAACTGGATGTCCATTTGAGATATATAATCTACAACACTGGGGGAATTTCCTTAAATTAAAAACAGGGAATTTGTCTGGGAGGTAGGAGCCCAGGAAATATAAGGAGGTCACCAGAGAGTGAGCTCAACTCAGCTGCTCGGTACAATTGCTTTAAAAAGGGATTGCTCTCTTTCTCTTTGCATCTTTTGCACATTTTAAAGACTGTCCATCATTTCTTTTCATTTGTCAACATTAATACACAATTTCAAGAAAAATGCCATCTTTTCACAAATTCTGTTATCATATGCAATGCAGAAGCTAGCCATTTGACTTCAATGTGTATGCTTTCCCATGAAATACAAGTGTGGCTTAAAACATTCTTAATTTTATATGGTGCTGCAGCCTTTGATATGTTGGCTGGAAAAACCTTCCATCTGAATGCTTATTTTACTAATCATTTCTGAGTAGAACTACTGTGCCCTGAATTATAGCAAATTTGCAATTTAACAACAATAGCAAGCAATTATAGGGTTATTTTAATATATGTTCATTATCAAGAACGGATAAATCATATGGCTCCACATACCACTGATTCCAGATACCTTAGAATGTAAGGGCTTTGCAGTACTAATGGGTTATCTGTTTAAATCTCCTGTCTGCTGAGCCTGAAATAAAGATGTATAATAATTGCAGGAAACTGACAGAGCCTGTTCTAAACATATCAGCTAGATGGGTGGCAAGTCACACAGCATCAGTGTTTGCTGCATCTGAAATGCATTCTGAGAGCAATGAATGCAAGATTGAGCCAAAGCAAATTAACAAGACACAGATTTTTGAAACACTCAGTCAGTTGTTCAGATGTTATTTGTGCTGTAATCAAATAACCCTCACACGTAAAATATGTAACAACATGTAGATGACCCCTCTTGTACCTGGTGAAACAGGACAGCTTGCAGCACAGATAGATAAAGATGACCAAGAAAGCTGTCGGCCTTCATGAAAACACAAACAGCCAGAGAAGGAAAGCAGAAGGGAAGCAAAGAATAACATGCATTAGAACTTCTGACAGCATCCTGTACATCCCCACAGAAAGATTATACCCTCAGAAACTCAAATACTGATATTGAAGGATTTTTTAGACTTTCTGAAGTCTATTAATTTTTTCAATATTATATTGCTCTTGTTCCTCCCACATTTTACCTGGAAGTATTATTGCTCATAAATGTTTTTAGAGCTGAAACCAATATTTACAAATAGTTCTGATACCTCAGATTGTTCCAATCTGACAACCCAACAGGGTGGATAAAATCAGTATTGTTGTTGTTTTAAAATCAAATTGATTTAAATCATGATTTAAATTTTTTAAAAATAATTTTTTTATTTTAAATTGTAAATGGCTGTTGTGGGTTTTTCGGGCTCTTTGGCTGTGTTCTGAAGGTTGTTCTTCCTAACATTTCACCAGTCTCTGTGGTCAGCATCTTCAGAGGACAGCACTCTGTGCCGTGTTTTGAAGGTTGTTCTTCCTAACATTTCGCCACTCTCTGTGGCCAGCATCTTCAGAGGACAGCACTCTGTGCTCTGGTGTAGTTGGCTTTGGGGGTGCAGTATTTATGGCTGTGGGATAGGCTTTTCTTTTTTTCTGTAGATGGGTGATTCGTGTGTATTGTTGTGGGTGTATTGTTGTGCTAAGGAGAAGAGATTATCTGTTCCTGTGGTTGATGGGTGTCATTAGCTGGTCTTTTGTGTGTAGTGATCCCCTGTCCTTGTGGTTGGGTAGAGTTCGTTGACCTTTTCCACGCTGTATTTTTGAGAGCTGGGAGCCAAGTTTTGATGAACTTCACACTTTCCTCTTTTTTGTTGAAGTTTTGCTGGTGCTTGTGGATTTCAATGGCTTCCCTGTGCAGTCTGACGTAATGATTGCTGGTGTTGTCCAGTATTTCAGTATTTTGGAATAGAATTTCATGTCCAGTTTGTTTCAGGGCATGTTCGGCTACTGCAGATTTTTCTGGTTGTTTTAGTCTGCAATGTCTCTCATGTTCTTTGATTTTGGTGTGGATGCTTTGTTTTGTGGTTCCAATATATACCTGGACACAATTGCAAGGTATCCGGTATACTCCTGTAGTCGTAAGGGGGCCCCTTCTGTCCTTTGCTGACCGTAACATTTGTTGTATTTTTGTGGTGGGCTTGAATACTGTTTGTAGGCTGTGTTTTTTCAAAAGTTTCCCCATGCGGTCTGTGACCCCTTTTTACAATTTTTAAATTGTAAAAAATCTGCTTTTTAAAAGTTTAAATTATATGAGCTAAATCCTCTTGCATTTATGTTTGCATTTAAGGAAATCAGCATGATTCTCAGTGGCAAATTGCTGAAAATTAGACAGCCAGTGCAGGCATTTATGAACTGCCTAAATTTAGGAAATCAGCATAAACATAAAATGGGCATCTTTGACTTTTTATTTTAATAAGATGATAATTATGATGAACATGATTTTGCTTAAGATAAAAAGTCTAGTCAGACTCTTAGGATGTGATTACATTGCAATTTATCCAAGTGGCACAGTGAAGTTTGATGTATTTTCCAGTGAGTATACAATGTACAGCTAATCATAGACCATCCTGGCCTTTCTCCTTGGTCATTTGGAGCTTTTTGGTTCACTGGCAGGGGCTAATGTTTTTGGAGCAATTGGGATCATATCATTTCATTTCCATTTTCAGCATGTATCTTGTTCTACACCAGCAGCGATGGGTGTGTTCGAGAGTGATGTTGAAGCTGACATGCTCAATAGAATGTGGCATGGCTTACTCCTTCAGAAATGCTCCCAGCTTCACGTGGAGCTGGAAGCATTTCTTAAAAAGGGCTCCATTGCAAGCCCACAACAGCTCAGATTGTTTTTCCTTTCTCTTTTCCACAGTCTTGGCAGATCAACCATTGTTCCAGTGGCTTTATTTAGAAGCCAAGATTACTAGTTGTCCACCCTCCTTTGGCAGCGTAGAGTGGGAACAGCTCCTCCTCTTCTATTGTCTCTGCTCTGAACATTTTATCAGACAACAGCATTGTGTCAGAAAACTCCAGACAGCTTTCCCATCTAGTTGCAGCCTCTTGTTCAGATAAGTACTGCATGTTACAGAGAAATTAAAGGAATTCAGCACTATGTCACTTGCAATGAAACATCAAGGGGATCAAAGGAAGGGCAGTTTCATGGAAGAGGCAGGGAAAAGACTATATAAATGACAGAGGAGGATAGCAACTGCAGCTGTTTATGGTGTATGTGGTCTCTTGCCCCAAAACTGAGACAAGGAGTACATTTCCATGTGAATGGGAACACTGATCTAAATGCTATTCAAATAAGCCCCCTTGTCACTGCTGAACCCCATTCCAACCTGGAACTGTTCCCCTGTCTAGGCATAACCTTAATGGATTCCTAAAACATACGGTCATTCATACTCAAGGAAACTGTAGTACACACATGCGCACGCACACACACATGCACACATGTGTACATGCACACTCACACATTCCCCACGAAAGATACATGAACAAGTAGCCAGCTTTTCACCATGCATATAATTTAATTTGTCTGCATGAAAGTCAGCATTTTCCTTGACTGGGATTCTCTGTTTTCTCTCTAAAAGATCACAACAATTAAACTGAACACCAGTTTTTGTCAATAGCATCCTATTAAACATTTGAATACATCAGACACAAATGGAAATAAAAATGTAAAAATATGGAAATTACTTGCTTCAGTAAAGTAATAAATCAGACATAAAGAAGCCTGAAAGATTAATGGCAAGAGGTATATATAGCCATTAGCAAGTCTACCTACCCCTGTATATATACGATGTACAAAATACACAGTACCTAGCTAACTTACCTATACTGTATAGAGCATTTACTATCAACCTGCATCTTGTTTCTACAAAATGTTTTTAACATCCCAAATGTTCTTTCCGACCTACCTGTTTGCTTGAACATCCTTGTAAGACCTAGTGGGGAAGAAGGGTGCAATGTATTCAGAGAGGTCATATTCTCAACTCAATTAAATTGGGCACAGAGTGCTGTTTCTAAACTGATATTGGAGAAAAGGCAGAGAAGTCAGCACTGGATGTTTTCTAACTGCTCTTAAATCTACACAGAGGGAAAACAGTATTTAAGCAATGGACTACATTTGTCTGCATCAGGCTGAGGCAACAGGGCAACTGGAATAGTAATCATCCCATCGCTATAAATTCAGTATGGTTTCCCTGCTTGAGAGAATTATGTCCACTCACTTATCCTGATGATGGAAAGTCCCTCCTGTGCCATAATCCCTTCTCCAGGTAGAAATCTGTGCCCTCCTTGCAGGTATTCTGCATCTCTACCTGGCAAACATCTCAGCATTTAAGCTGCTTTCCTTAATCTAAATGTATACTTGCCTTTGACTGGGACAGTATCAGACAAGAGTGAGAAAAAGATAGAAGAAGATGGCATTCATTTTACAATCTGTTCAGAAGCTCCCAGCATATGCAGCTTGGAAAAAAAAAAACCATTTCTGTTGAGTACTTGTCCAAACAGCTGAGTTATGGTCATGATCCAAGTTGGATAGCACAGTGGTTTAGGCATCTAGCTATGGAATCAGAGGTTGGGAGTTCAGTTCCCCACTGTGCCTCCCTGATAAGGGCTGGACTCGATGATCCATATGGTCCCTGCCAGCTCTGCAATTCTAAGATGATGGTGATGATGATGATAAAGGGGACTGAAGACTCTTGCAGAAAAATGTGAGATTTGCAGGTCAGAATAAGACTATTTATGTCACTCTCCTTGATTTTATGTACTTGTAAAGACAGTGAAATAATTCAACATAATACTTATGGTGCAAAACTACTAGATCAGCCAGATATATATTTGCAGAGAATGTTTTTTGTTTTGTTTTGTTTTTTGCTTCTGGACATGGAAAAATGAACTTTTGAATCATGTGGCCCACAGAAGTCCCCAGCCAAGTTCCATCCCCTGGAATAATGCTTCTTTATCCAGTGCCTCCGTCAGGATGGCTTTGCTACACATTTGATTTCCTTGGCCAGGAAATCCCCCACTCAGCAAAGCCAGCTCTGAAAACACCCTCTCGAGGCACTGCTGTCAGCACTTGGGCAGAGGACCAGATGATATCAGGGGCCACAGCCCTATGGCTTGACATTATCCATCTTGATAGCTTGCCAGAGGAACAGATGTTATCCTGATTTCTCATCTGAAATTTACCACTAAAACTGTAGATCACCGGAATGGTATTACAACCACTAGAAAAAAAAATGAGGTAGGAATGAAAGGTTTATTAATGTCAAGCAACTAAACACCACAAAGTATAGGATCAAAACTTTGAGAAATCCAGTTTTAGCCATGAGGCAAGGCTCTTGGTGTCCTTGTTTTACTTCATGCATACACATGCACACAGGCATACACACCTTCTGGACATATATTTGTAAAGTTGTTGGTTTTTTTAAGAGAATCATCCTTCATACCTTGAGTTACTATTTCTCATAAACATTTCTTACAACTGTATGTTAGGATATAGTTAAAGGAACTTCTCTAAAGTGCAGAAATAACATAGTCCTTGTTAGAATGCAATGCAGTCCATTTTTAAACCCTATTTTCCAGTTTCCCTCATTTAGAAGAACTGGCCAAACATAACATTGAAAGGCCCACAATTTTAAAAATGCTGCCCATTCTATCACTAATCTAGCACAGCATACCATGGTATTACCCTGAACACAATGATCCTATCTGATTTTGGAAGCTAAGAAGTGGGGGGACTGGTTGAGTGAAAGATCACCATGGAATTCCTGCTTGAATCTGGAGAGTCACTGCTAGTCCAAACTGACAATACTGGGCTAGACAGATCACTGGCCAGAGACAATGGCCAGAATCCTCTTGCTTGGTGTAGTAAATTGCTCTAGAGAAGCCCCATTGAATCAATGAGAATTTAGTGAGTTAATTTATTTGACTGTTCCACTGATTCAA